TAGTCTTCAAAATAAGCAGTTATCGGAATCTAAAATTGATCTATCCTAATATAATTGATATAATTGTTACCAAATAGCAAGCGTTGAATGATACTATTAGTAATTTTCTCCAATAATGGATCACATGAAGAAATAATACTGTATTCTCTGATACAGAAAAGTAAAGATCTACTGTAGTTTTAGCAGCAGCGAATTATTGTTTAGAGTAACTAATTCAATGAGAGATACAGATAGAAAATCAAATTAGAGAACAACCTGATAGTTTGGAAAGGGTACAACGTCCCCAGTAACAATATTTATACACCAATATATCAGACAGGATAAATAAATGAACCAAATATATTTCATTGGCTTTACACTTGTAGATATGAACAATTACATTTGATTAGAAACATATGAGGATGATAACGAAAGCATCAAGACATGTGCTTTCCCTTTCATCACCCTGTTCTTTCTGTGTATTTTTGACAGCACCATCATCACTCTATGAAGTTGAGGATAATCAAATCATTCACATTTCAAGCTCAACTATGTAGTTTGTGAAATAAAACTGCTTCACTGAATCAAAATGGAAACTTAAATTGCCTAACATATATAACATATTCGGACAAATATGAAATAGGGTACTAAATTCAATGTTAAGCCATGACTGTACTGAATGACCGAAAAAGCTCGAAGAATAGAAGGATTTCCTCCTACCCCTGTTTTCAATGTCTCTAAGTTTTATCAGTCTGACCAGCATCTGTTGTCCAACAGCTACTACAAAACGTGCATTGTTTTGGATTACGTTAGACATTGTGTAATAAAAGAAACATTAATGAGCCAATATTGCAAGTGGCTGTTTGCAATTGGAGATATTCGTGCTGAAAGCCAACTTGTCGAACAGAGGGCTGCAATATGAAATATGTGTTCAGGGCAGTCTGGTACGGGGAGGGGACATAACATATCGAAGAAGCAGAGACGCATCAATCCGCAGCAAAGGGATAAATTCACAATTAATTCTATCATGTTGTTTGCGAAGAAATACGGTAAGGCTGGATGGTGTCTACTTTGTTGCTAGCGGTGTAGCAGATAAGACTGTTGTGTTTAATGGCATGGATTGACACATGGAAGCATGATATTGTCGCTATCATGAAAACGAGGTTGAATGAAGGGCTGGACTGGCAAGTAAACATTCCGAGGTGTAGGATATTTAGGCGCAACAGAGACGGTATACAATGTTGCACGATTAATTAAGGAGTCAAGTACTTATATAAGGAGGGATGATACTTTCGAAGACTCCTGAAACGAGGCTTTGCATTTAAAACTGAGAAATGTTAAGGGAATAGTTACTTTACTGGAAGTGTGTTATATACTCCAAAGAGTCAGTTGGAAATAGAGGCACAAATATGTAGAGAGTTTACATAGATGTGTAAGAATAATAAGCGGTCGATTATGCTAGGGCATTCCAATCTTTGAAACATAAATTGGAATAATCATAGTTTGAGGGTTTAGGAGGAGTGGATTTCTTGAAATGTATGCAGTTTTTGTACTAATGCAGAGAAGGCTTAAAATGGGGTAGCATAGTGCTGGATGTAGTTCTGGGGAAAGAAGTTGGATAAGTGTTTGATGTGGCGTTAGGGGAGCATTTAGGTGATAATTAATGCAAAACGGTATGGTTCAAGTTTGTTCCGGACGAGGAAATAAATCGGTTGCAAAAGATTGCTTTGAATTAGAGGAAGGCAAATTTTATTAAAATAAAGCAGGATCTTTCCTCTTAAGACTGAGAACAGCTCCTTGAGAGTAAATCTAGAGCGGAGCAATGGAGAACATTTAAAAAACGAGCTGGGGAAAATTACAGGTCCAATATATACACTTTAGAGGTAAATGCGGGAGCAATAAGTTCAGAGAACTCTTGACGTATAGAATAATTCAGGAGTTGATAAGGAAGAACAGTACGGCTTTTAGCAAGCCCAAAAAGAACAATTCAACTGCAGCCCAAGATGAATGTAGGGATTGCAGGAGGAAACACTAAGAAAGCAATTAGAAATACAAAAGAGGGAATTAAAAGTCCTTGTGAATAGGATTAGGGAGAACCCCAAGATATATTATAAAAGCATTAAATGGAAGAGGCTAATCAGGAAAAGAGTAGGACCAATTAGGGATCAAGGAAGCAACCTGTGTGCGAAGCTCAAGGCATTGGACGTGTGTGGAACGAATACTTCTCTTTGTCTTCACTCTGGAAAAGGATAACTTAGGTACAGAATTCCGGGGAAGGGACTGTGAGTAACTTGCACAGTTTGACGTGGGAAACATGGATATGTTGGAGGCTCTTTCTAGCTTGAAAACAGAAAATCTCCTGGCCTGGGTGAATTGCATTCCAGGCTGTTGTGGGAGCACAGGCAGGAAATTGCTGGGGCTCTGACACAAGATTCTATTTCGTCTTTGGCACCAGGGAACGTATTAGAAGACTGCAGGATGGCTAATGTGGTTCCACTTGTAACATGTGTGGCAGAAATTAATCAGCAAATTGCAAACCAGTGATTGTCACCTCAGTGTTAGGGAAACTATTGGAGAAAATTCTGAAGGTCAGAATCAAAACCCAAATGGAAAGGCATGCATTAATTAGGGATAGTCAGCATGTCTTCATCAGAGGGAGGTTATGCTTAACAAATGTCCTGGATGTTTTGACAAAATGATCATATCCTTGTATGAGGGAAGTTGCGTGGATGAAATTTATATGGATTTTAGTAAAGCATTTAACAATGTGTCACATGGGAAACTGAGAAGGTTAAAGCGCATGGAATTAAGAGAAACGTAACGAGATGGATCAGAAATTGGCTTAAAAATAGGAGACGAAGCATAGTGGTAGAAGGCTGTTTGAATAACTGGAGGTCGGTGTAAAGCAGTCTGCCACAGGATCTGAAATGGGACCCTGATTGTTTGTTATCTGCAGAAACGATATCGATGAAAAATGTGTGTGTGTAGTGGGGGGTGAGGGGTGGCGATTTTAAGCAAATTTGTCGGAGTTATTGGTTGGCTCGCTGAACTGACTGGTTTTCAAGCAAACGTTTCTTCTCCCTTCTTGGAGACATCTTCAGCACTGTCTAGCCTCCGTTGAAGCGATGTTGTTCTGTCTCGCTCTGAATTTATATGGCCTGGTCTGTGTTGGTGGGTAGTCTTGTTTCCGGTTTTGTACCGTAATGGTGTGTAGATGTTGTCTATTTCCATATATTTGTTTTTCACGCCGGTGATTGAAAACCAGGCCTCGAGGAACTCCCATGCCTGTCTGCATTTTGCAAGGTACAACCAACTCTCCCTCGTTTCAATACTCTCCGACATAGACGGGCATCAATTTAACTGAGACGAAGTTGCAATACCAGGGCAAGCAAAACAAAGACCAGCACTTTGAATAAAAGGATCTTGGCAATTATTCACAGATCTATAAAGTCAGCAGAACATGTGAATGGGATAGTTAAGAAGATACATCGCGCATACGACGTTGCATAGAGTATAAGAGTAAGGAGGCAGTATTGTGTGCAGTTCTGGTCGCCTCACTATAGGAAGGATGTCATAGCACAAGAGGGCTATTGTGGAGGTTCACCTAGGATGTTGCCTGGGATGGAGAAACGAGCTATAAGGACGGACTAGATAAGCTTGGATTGTTTTCTTTAGATCAGAGAGGACTGAGGATAGATATGATTGAAGTTTATAAGATTATGAGAGGTATGGATAGGATGAATAAAGAGCAGATATTAACCTCGACAGAGAGGTCAATCACAAGAAGGCATAGTTTTAGGTTAAGGGGCAGGAGATTCAGAAGGGATTTGGGAAAACAGACTCTTTGACTCAGCCCGTGGTCGGAACCTGGAATGCATGGCCTGGGAAGGTAGTGGAGGTTTGAAAACCGGCAGCTTTTAAAAAAATCTGGATGGGTACTTCAAATATAACATTCAACGATATGTCAGCAGGAAATTGAGATTGTCTCAATTTTAGTTGTAGTTATGCTGGCCCACACTCAATGGGTCAAAGAGCCTTTTCTGCACCATGTGAATCTATGTTTCTATGAACAGGACATGTGTAAGCTAAATGTAAATGCTTTGTAATGGGCTTTCCCACACTGGATACATCCTTAGGGAATTGAATCAGTGCACTCTGAATGTAAGTAAGCAGAACCAGGCATGCATCAATGTAACATTATATAATTCATTGTATGGGAAACTAATGTAAGCCATCTCATTTGCCCAATAACACACTGATTGTAAGTTTTTTTGAAAATGTGCCCTGAGTGGAAATAAATAATACGAACTCGAATCAAAATATAAGTGTAAATGAACTGAAATGTACATGGGTCCCTTTTCACTCAACATAACTGTACGGAAAAACACCTGGGTACACAGAATATAAGGAAGCTAAAGATAATCTGACACGAACAGCATCAGATCATATTTAAATAATGTGGCCTTATTTGAGTTGTGCTACCTCAATTTGGGACACAGTGGTGGCGAATTAGAGGAATTTACACTGCCGGAACCGTTGGTAAATAGGAAGAAGACTGCATTGTTGAGTCAATCTGCCCAGAATTAACATAGTGACAATGAGCTGGGTAATTCAGGAAGGAATGCTGTCTTCAAGAGTTATGTCTGCGCAAGCCAATTGGAACCAAATTTCACTGGATCTTTTCTACAGCAATTACATGGTCAGTTGTGTTAAATGAGTAAACAGTTTGAATGAATTTGGAACATAGTTGCACATTAGTGGTGATCACGTTCAAAGTAGTTTAAGTACAAAATATGCATGAAGTATATAATTTATTTTTTTCCCCTTTTGAACAGTGGAAACTGTTCTTTTCAATCAAAATATAAACATCCTGTGAAGCAGCAGCTGCATTACTGTATTTTTAAATTGTAAGTCATAAATATAAATGTTCAATCCAACTAATTATTTCCCTGGAGTCTGAAATAACGTATAAATATCAGTAATAACCACCGAATAACGAGAAGGTCTGAACCCTGTTCGCAATGCATGAAATAATAACAGGCCTGGTGTTTGAAATTTACTATCCATTCATTGCAGCAATCGGAGTTCCAGGTTAGGATATTTGTGTTTTTTTTTTAACTGTGCGAATAGTTGGAGTTAACTGTAGCAATTCTCCGATTTAACCAGTAGCACTTGCCCACATTGTGTGCACCGTTTCACTCTTTTCATTGGATATAATGGCCCGTTCGCAGGTATAAGGAATAATGTTTAATTGTAATAATTCCTTTTCGTTTGCAGCATTACTTACAGTATTAAATTTGGTATTTAATTTCGTCCATTTGTTGGCAGACCTTCGCTGTGTTGGCATTATTATTCAGGTTTGGAATTACAGTTTTTATTTTTTTTAACCGATAGGGTAACATCATATCACCTATATAATTTGCTACCTTTAAGGGAATGATAATTTCTTATGCCAGGGACAACTTGACCGCTTCGAAGAAATGTTTTCTCCCGTTAAGCTCTAACGTCACACGGTCTAATTATGAGGCTATTATTTTACTGTCAAAGTTACTGGAAGTGAATTAGTTTCTCTTTACCAGTTTAACAAAGGATAAATAGGGTGGTCACTAGGACTTTAAACTAGTGAGTTCGGTGGAAGGGAAAGGGAAAACGGCAGGGAGTATGATGGTAAATAAAAAGGTAAGCAGCAGGTTAGCATGTGTGCAGGAGGGTTTAAGTTCAAGGCAGACTATGAAAGAAGCAAAAAGGAAGGATAACTGAGGAGATATTACTAGAGATGTTGGAAATCATGAGGATAAGAAAGCTAGCATAAAGGCACTTTACCTGAATGCTCGTAGCATTCGTAACAAGGTTGATGAGTTAACAGCACAAATCACCGCGAATGAATATGATTTGGTAGCCATTACGGAGACATGGTTACAGGATGGTCATGACTGGGAGTTAAATATCCAAGGGTACCAGACTATTCGGAAGGACAGACAGGAAGGTAAGGGAGGTGGTGTAGCTCTGATATTCAAGGACGCCATTGGGGCAGTGCTGAGAGATGATATAGGTTCTATGGAGAATGAGGTTGAATCCATTTGCGTGGAAATTAGAAATTCTAAGAGGAAAAAGTCACTGATAGACGTAGTCAATAGGCCACCAAATAATAACATCACATTGGGGCGGGCAATAAACAAAGAAATAACTAATGCCTGTAAAAATGGTACGGCAATTATCTTGGGGGATTTTAACCTACATGTAGATTGGTCGAACCAGCTCGGTCAGGGTAGCCTTGAGGAGGAGTTTGTTGAGTGTACCCGTGATAGTTTTCTTGAACTGTATGTAATGGAACCAACGCGGGAGCAAGCTATCCTAGATCTGGGCCTGTGTAATGAGACAGGAATAACTAATGACCTCATAGTTAGGGATCCTCTTGGAAGAAGTGATCACAGTATGGTTGAATTTAGAATACAGATGGAGAGTGTGCAGATAAAATCCAATACCAGGGTCCTGTGTTTGAACAAGGGGAACTACAATAGAATGAGGGAGGACTTGGCTAAAGTAAACTGGAAACAAAGATTTTATGGTGGGACAGTTGACGAGCAGTGGAGGACTTTCAAAGCAATCTTTCAAAGTGCTCAGCAAAAGTATATTCCAATGAAAAGGAAGGACTGTAAGAAAAGGGGTAATCTGCCATGAGTGTCTAAAGAAATAAGGGAGGCTATCAAATTGAAAGAGAAGGCATACAAAGTGGCCAAAAACAGCATGAAACTAGAAGATTGGGAAAACTTTAAAGGTCAACAGAAAGCCACAAAAAGAGCTATAAGGAAAAGTAAGATAGAACATGAGAAAAAACTAGCACAGAATATAAAGACAGATAGTCTATAAATATATGAAACGAAAAAGAGTGGCTAAAGTAAACGTTGGCCCTTTAGACCATGAGAAGGGGAATTTAGTTATGGGATATGGTGAAATGGCCGAGGCATTGAACAAATAATTTGTATCTGTCTTCACAGTGGAGGACACTAATAACATGCCAGTAATTGACAAAGAGACGAAGGTAGGTGAGGACCTGGAAACAATCATAATTACCGAAGAGGTAGTGTTGGGCAAGCTAATGGAGCTAAGGATTGATAAGTCTCCTGGCCCTGATGGAATGCATCCCAGGGAACTAAAAGAGATGGCGGGAGAAATAGCAGGTGCACTGGCGGTAATTTTCCAAAATTCGCTGGACTCTGGGGCAGTCCCAGCAGATTGGAAAACAACAAACGTGACGCCACTGTTTAAAAAGGGAAGTAGACAAAAGATGGGGAATTATAGACCAGTTAGCTTAACCTCTGTAGTGGGGAAGATGCTTGAGTCTATTATCAAGGAAGAAATAGCAAGGCATCTTGATAGAAATTGTCCCGTTGGGCAGACGTAGCATGGGTTCATGAAGGGCAGGTCATGCTTGACAAATCTTTTGGAATTCTGTGAAGACATTACGAGCGAGGTGGACAATGGGGACCCAGTGGATGTGGTGTACCTAGACTTCCAAAAGGCCTTTGACAAGGTGCCGCACAAGAGGCTACTGCATAAGATAAGGATGCATGGCATTAAGGGTAAAGTATTAGCATGGATAGAGGATTGGTTGACTAACAGGAAGCAAAGAGTGGGGATAAATGAGTGCTATTCTAGCTGGCAGTCAGTGACTAGTGGTGTGCCTCAGGGATCGGTGTTGGGACCGCAATTATTTACAATTTATATAGATGATTTGGAGTTGGGGACCACGTGTAGGGTGTCAAAGTTTGCAGATGACACTAAGATGAGTGGCAAAGCAAAGTGTGCAGAGGACTGTGAAACTTTGCAGAGGAACATAGATACATTGAGTGAGTGGGCAAAGGTCTGGCAGATGGAATACAATGTAAATAAATGTGAAGTCATACATTTTAGTAGGAGTAATAGTAAAAAGGATTATTACTTGAATGGTAAAAAGTTGCAGCATGCTGCTATGCAGAGGGACATGGGTGTCCTTGTGCATGAATCACGAAGGTAGGTCTGCAGGTACAACAAGTAATTAGGAAGGCAAATGGAATTTTGTCCTTCATTGCTAAAGAGATTGAAATAAAAAGCAGAGAGGTTATGATGCAGCTGTACAAGGTGCTGGTGAGGCCACACCTGGAGTACTGTGTGCAGTTTTGGTCTCCTTACTTGAGAAAGGATGTACTGGCACTGGAGGGGGTGCAAAGGAGGTTCACTAGGTTGATTCCGGAGTTGAGGGGGTTGGCTTGTGAGGAGAGTCTGAGTGGATTGTGATTATATTCGTTGGAATTCAGAAGATTGAGGGGGGATCTTATAGAAACATATAAAATTATGAAGGGAATAGATAAGATAGAAGTAGAGAGGATGTTTCCACTGGCAGGTGAAGCTAGGACAAGAGGGCATAGCCTCAAGATTAGAGGGAGCAGATTTAAGACTGAACTGAGAACGAATTTCTTCACCCAGAGGGTTGTTAATCTATGGAATTCCTTGCCCAGTGAAGTAGTTGACGCTACTTCAGTAAATGTTTTTTAAAAAAAGGTAGATTTTTTTTAACAATAAAGGAATTAAGGGATACGGTGAGAACACGGGTAAGTGGATCTGAGTCCACGAAAGGATCAGCCATGATCTTATTGAAAGGTGGAGCAGGCTCGAAGGACCAGATGGCCTACTCCTGCTCCTAGTTCTTATGTTCTTATATTCTTATAACATGGATTTGTGGTTGAATTATCATTGAATTTTAACGGTGACGTTACAGTTCTATTTAGGTGTTGATAGTAATCTTGCAGATGAATTCTCAACCAATTATTGTGTTGAAAATAAGATTATGTTGTGTTGAAACCATTTTATCCACAGGAGAATTGACATATTGAAATAAACATGTAAAAATAGATCTATTTAGATATTGAGATTTACAGGTACAGTATAATTGTTCTTTATTAAATTTCGGTCTTCTCTGCTACCTGACAGTCACCGTTTCTGTTCACCATTGTTTAACATTCGCTGCTTCAGCTTTAATTCGCTTTTTGACAGGACCTCCTACTGAAATTGATGAGTAATGAGAGTGGGATTTCGTTGAGGTATGTTCACTTTAGCGAAGAAAGAAATCAGCAAGGCAAAAGGCTTTGGCTGAAAAGATTATGGTGAATTCAAAGATATTCATTAGGTACAGTCAAGGAAAAAGATTAACTAGAGAGAGAATAGGACCCTCGATGACCAAAATGAGCATGTATGTGTAGAACTGCAGTAGACGGGCAAGGTCTTCAATGAATATTTCTCTTCTGTGAATGTATGAAGGTCATAACTATCCAGGTCCTGCCTAGATATATCCAAGAACCCCGCCAAAGGCTAGAAAGGCAATTGTGCATGTGCTGGCTGATATACCAGCATCATCGTTAGCCATGGTGAGGTCTCAGAAAACTGGAGGGTAGAGAATGTTTTGTCCTTATTCAAGAAGGGTTGCAAAGAAACGCTTTGTAATTATACAACAGCAACCCTAACATTGTGGTACATAATTTACATTTGAAAAAGTACTGTTCGATTAGCAGTAGTAGGCTAGGCTTCATGCATAGGAGATCACGCCTCACGAGTTTGCTTTCGTTCATTGATGCAGTAACCAGGAAGGTTGTTGAGGGAAGGGTGATAAACGTAGTCTATATGGAATTCAGTAAGGCCTTTGATAAGGTTCAATGGGTAGGCTGCTCTGGAAGGTTAGATGGATTGGAATCCAGGAAAGGAAGAGCTGGCAAACTGGGTGCACATTGGGTTGGTGTTAGGAAGCAGAGAATAATAATGGAGGTTTCATTTTGAACTGGAGGCCTGTGACTAGTGGTGTGCCTCAGGGGACCGTGCAGGGCCCATTATTGTTTGTTATCTATATCAATGACTTGGATGAGAATGTACAAGGCATGATTAGGAAGTTTGTGGATGACACAAAAATAGATGGTATCATGAACAGTGAGGAAGGTTACCAGGAAATGCAGCAGGATCTTGATTAGCTGGGGAAGTGGGCTGAGAAATGGCAAATGGACTTTAATATAGATAAGTGGGAGGTATTGCATTTTGGGAAGTCAAATCAATGTAAGAGTTTCATCGTGAATGGTGGGGCCTTAAGGATTGTCATGGAACAGAGGGACATTAGAGTTCGGGTGCGCAGTTCTCTAAAAGTGGAGTCAAAGGTGGACGAAGCTGAAGAATGCTTTTTGTGCACTGACCCCCCATCAGTCAGAACATTGAGTATGGAAGTTGGGAAGTTGCGTTGCAGTTATATAGGATGTTGGTGAGGCTGCACTTGGAGTATTTTGTTCTGTTTTGATCACCTTGTTACAGGAATGATGCTATTAAAATGGAAAGAGTGCAAATAAATTTACAAGGATGTTGGCAGGACTCAGCGAACTGAGTTACAGGGAGAGGTTGGACAAACTAGGAGTTTTTCTTTTCCTTAGGCATAAAGACTGAGGGGGGATCTTATGGAAGTGTACAAGAGCATGAGAGGCATGGATAGGGTGAATATACTCAATCTTATTACCAGGGTTGGCAAACCGAGGACGAGAGGGCATCAGTTTAAGGTAAAGGGGAAAGAATGCATGCAAAGTGGGTGGTGGGGCACAAGTTTCTTTTCCACAGAGGATGGTATGCATACGCAATGAGCTGCCAGCAGAAGTGGTCGGGTGGGTACATTAACAACATTTAAATTTCATTGGCACAAAGACATGGATAAGAAAGGTTTAGAAGGAATTAGCCAAGTGCAGGGAAATGGGGTTAGCATGGATGGACATTTTGGTCGGCATAGACCAGTCTGGGCTGAAGGGCCTGTCTCTGTGTTGTAGGATTCTATGCCTCTATAATGCACAGCAATGCCTAGGGCAGTACTCATCTTCCAGATAATGACCTCAGGACCGAAATAAGTCAATGTTTCGTGACCGGCGACCCTTCCTAATGACAAGTGAGGAAGGGTCACCAGACCCAAAACGTTAACTTGGATTTGCCTTCACAGATGCTGCCAGAACAATTGAGCATTTCCAGTGATCTCTACTTTTGTTACTGATTTACAGAATCCGCAAGTGTTTCGGTTTTTAGTCCGATTTCAATATCCAACACGAGTTATAATTTTTGGCAGTACGCCACAATCCAACTGTTACATTTTATAAGGCATTTCTCCAATCACAATGGTCACCTGCCAGCTGCAGAGTTCGGGGCGTGCACTAAAGACATCACGTGATTTGTGCCGTGTTTTATCATGAAAAAAAAACCCGCCCTCAATAGCATGGAAAGCTCATTCTCCAGTCTCTTCTATCCTAACATCAACTATTTTTGGGCCAACTGGCTATACATCTGTTTCCAAAAAGGAGTGAATTATACAAAACTTTACTGTTAGAAGTTACTTTTTTTCTTTCCGTTTGTTTTTATGTGTATGGTTAATATAATAGTTATTTACTCATTTCAGAAATTTCCCTATTTCCTTGTTGAAAAGAAGTCTTACTCCAGTGTTCGTTCTTGAAGGCGGTGTGTGTGTGTGTGCGCGCGCGCGTTTCTTCACTTCACAACATTTGAACTCATGGTTATTTTCAATTTATTAGAGGATCAGCTCTCTTATGTCAACAATGGATAATTACTTTAAAGATTTAAAAAAATTGCATCAACTACGGCTTCAACCTTGGTGTTATGTCATATTGTCGACGTGTCTCGCAGGTCGCTACAGCGTGAGTAATACTGTTAGGATTTGAAAGTGTAAACTTCCTGTACTTGGTCTGACTAACGTAAAATTTCTTAGTTTTTTTTAAAAATCTTTCTTTTTCTATTGCAGCAAACGTGGCAGTGATAGTCATTCTGTCTCGAAACAGATGCTGCCTGTCTGGATGTGTCATCTATTACCTGGTGTCCATGACAGTGACGGATCTCTTGGTCATTGTCACAGCTGTAATATTAAACCGGATAGCTGGGATGTACTTCCCATTCAGTTTCTTGTCCATTACCCCATTGTGCAGTTTTCGTTCTGCCTTCAATTATGCAGCTCTTGCCAGTTCTGCCTGGTTGACAGTCAGTTTCACCTTCGATCGATTTGTTGCAATCTCTTGCCAGAAGCTGAAAGTTAAATATTGCACTGAAAAAATGGCAGGACGTGTTATAATAATTGTGTTTGTGCTCTCCTGTGTCAAAAATACCTTCACGTATTTTTATTACGAACCCATGTATCTAGTTAATAATGTCCCTTGGTTCTGCGCCCTAAAAGCAGTATTTTATACATCACCAGCTTGGACTGCATATGACTGGATTCGATCAATTTTAACACCTTGTCTCCCGTTTATTCTGATTTTACTGCTTAATGTTCTAACTGTCAGACAAATTTTAGTGGCAAATCAAGCCCGTAGGAGACTCAGGAACTTAAACACTAGAGATAATCAGAATGACCCAGAAATAGAGAAGCGCAGAAAGTCTATTGTTTTACTCTTTGCCATCTCAGGCAGTTTCATTCTGTTAAATTTGTTATGTTTTTTAACGATCCCTTATGTCCGAGTTGCAGATGTGACGTATCCTTCAGGTTCTGATCCAGACACTTTCATATTTATTCTTCAAGAAAGTGGATACATGCTTCAATTATTGAGTTCCTGTATCAACCCGTTTATTTACGCTGGCACCCAGCGTAAGTTCAGAATGGAATTGATGAACGGGGTAAAATATCCATTGAACCTATTTATTGGAGTATTCAAATGTTAACAACATCAATATGCGACATGGACTGTACAATGAATTATACCGCGTATTCTATTTTGTCTAGCAACTAAACAAAATCGATGACAAATAACAAACGCTTTCAGTCTTTTCCACTGACTGCTGTAATGACTCAGTGTTATGAAACAGACCAGACCACGTCAAAATATTTTAAGTATGTAGCGTAAACCCTTAAATTTTCTTATGTTAATGGTAGATGTGAAGTGTTTTGTTTCAGATACAATGTGACTGGACTAATACTCGACATTATGCAAAACACAATTTATGTAAACACTATAGTTAAAATGCAAGCTAAAGAAGGAAGACGTTGGAATAACTTAACTAATGGAAAAAAGTAACTGAATAATAGATGTGACAACTACGACTAATTAACTGTTCCACTATAGTAAAATCCCATAACACATCCTTTGTCAAAAAGGCAAATTCTAAGATTTTGGAGTAGATCTGTAGCTCGGGTTGTGGGTGTTGAGGTTGGTTGGCTCGCCGAGCTGTTTTGTTGTTCCGCAGACGTTTCGTTACCGTGCTGGGTAACATCCTCAGTGCAGCCTCTGATGAAACGTCGGTGTGTTTTCCCACCTGGTTTTTAAACTCTGGGGTCCGTTGAGATGGATTGCCTCACTTCCGGGTTTCCTCGGTAGTGGAATGTAAATGGGGTCGAGTTCAATGTGTTTATTAATAGCATGCTTCGTGGAATGCCATGCTTCCAGGAATTCTCGTGCTTGTCTCTGCCTATCCTGTCCCAGGATCTTGGTGTTGTCCCAGTCGAAGTCATGGTTCCCCTTGTCCATGTGGATTGAGATGAGTGAGTATTGGTCGTGTCTTTTTGTAGCCAGTTGGTGTTCATGTACTCTTGTTGTTAGTTTCCTTTCTGTTTGTCCCATGTAGTGTTTCTCGCAGTCTCTGCAGGGGATCTTTTAGATGACATTGATCCCGTCCATAGTGGGGAATGGGTCTTTAGTTTGGGAGCACTTGTCGTAGGGTTGATGTGGGTTTGTGTGCCACTCTGATGCCCAGCGGTCGTAGAAGTCTCGTGGTGAGTTCTGACGTGTTCCTGATGTAGGGTAGTGTGATGAGTGTGTCGGGGCGTGTAGGATCTTTCCGATGCTGTTCCTGTAGGCATCTCCTGACCCAGTTCTTTGGATATCCATTATCCTTGTTCCAGGTCGTGAGAGCTGGGAACTGACTGGATGTACTGGGATTTGGGAGGACAGAGGGGTTTGAGTGACAGACCTGGGGCTTTATAAACCAGGTCCTGGCAGCCATAGATAACACAGTGGGGAAGCACAGCAGGCCAGGCAGCATCAGGGGAGCAGGAAAGCTGACATTTCGGCTCGGGACCCTTCTTCAGAGACGGGTGAGGGGGACGGGAGCTCCGAAATAAATAGAGCGGGGAGGAGTGGGGCTGGGGAAGGTAGGTGGGATGGTGATAGGTGAGTGCAGGTGGGCAGTGGTGGGGATTGGTCAGTGAGGTGGGAGGAGTGGATAGGTGGGAGAGAAGACAGACAGGTTGTGTCAGGTCAAGGAGGTGGGGATGAGAAGGAAGGTTAGTCATGGGATGAGGCCGGGGGTGGGGAGATTTTGAAACTGGTTAAGCCCACATTGAGACTATTGGGTTGTAGGCTCCCTAGGCGGAATATGAGGTGCTGCTCCTCCAGTTTCTGGATGGCGTCGTTGTGACACTGGAGGAGGCCCAGGATGGACATGTCACCCAGGGAGTGGGAGGAGGAGTCGAAATGGTTTGCGACTGGAAAGTGTTGTCATTTGTCACGATCAGTGCGCAGGTGTTAAACAAAGTGGTCTCCGAGCCTCCGCTTGGTCTCATCAATGTAGAGGAGGCTACATCGGGAGCAGCGGATGCAATAGACCACATTGATGGATGTGCAGGTGAGCCTCTGTCGAATCTGAAAAGTTTTTTTGGTTCCTTGAATGGGGGTGAGGGGGTAGGTGTAGGGGCAGGTGTAGCACTTCCTGTGGTTGCAGGGAAAGGTGCCGGGGTTGGTGAGGCTGGCGGGAGTGTGGAGCGGACGAGGGAGTCGTGGAGAGCGTGGTCCCTGCAAAAGGCAGATAGGGGTGCGGAGGGAAATATATCTTTAGTTGTGGGGTTGGTTTGCAGGTGGCGGAATTGGTGGAGAATGATACATTGAATATGGAAGTTAGTGGGGTGATATGTGAGGACGAGGGGGATTCTGTCTTTGTTTTTGTTCAGGGGAGGGGATGTGAGGGCAGAGATGCGGGAAACGCAAGAGATGCGGTCAGAGCATCTTCGACCACTGAAGGGGCAGAGTTTTTGTCCTTGAAATAAGAGGACATCTGGGATGTTAGGCAGTGGAATGCCTCATTTTGGGAGCAGATGCGGCAGAGGTGGAAGAATTGGAAGTACAGGATCGCATTCTTGCAGGAAGGTGGGTGAGAGGAGTTGTAGTCTAGCCTTGAGTTTACCTAGCTCTAGTCTAGCGTCCAGAAACTCCCCACCTACGTCTGGGACACCGCCCACGCCCTGCACCTCCTCCAACACTTCCAATTCCCTGGCCCTCATCATCTCATCTTAACCATGGACATCCAATCCCTGTGCACTTGCATTCCCCGCATGAATGGCCTAAAAGCCCTCCGCTTCTTCCTCTACCACAAGCCCAACCAGTCCCCCTCCACCTACACACTTATCTGACACTGACAACTTTCCTGCTCCTCTGATGCTGCCTGGCGTCCTGTGATCCTCCAGCTCCACACTGTGTTATCTCTGCCATTGGCAGTTCTTACTATCTCCGATGAGAAATTGCAAGTGTGTTTGTGTCATTAGCCCATTGGGAACACTTCTTGAAAGCAGCATCAGCACAGATTGCAGTTTTTGGAATTGAAACTTACACATGAGCAAATCCAATAGATTACTAACCCATCACATTACCACTCAGCCACGGTTACATCAAAGTTTGCTGCTCGCAGTCGCCCCTTGCATTGGATTTCATCTGCAAATATTGCAGTTGAGTGTTGGCGGATAAAACTCCCAGTCAATTCTGGTAATAAAATCCTTACCATTCCGGAAATATTGCATGGCCTTTCTGTTTTCTCTGTTACTTTTTCCTCTGCTTATTAGGAAAGAATCAGCTTTGTTGTTTCTAAACATGGCCATCTTGCGTGCTTGGCAAACATGGTAGATAGAAACAGGAAAATGTCCTTTGACGTTTTGTAAACCAGCTTTTTATTTTTGAACTCAATTATAATGCAAAGCCAGGAAACTGATAGACATGGGTAGTTCTGGACAGTAACAACGTGTTCAGCAGTTCAGACAAGTAGCAGCCATTGAGGCACGCAGAAGAACACAGACACTGAGGTTTAAAATCCCTCAGGTTCGAGAAACAACCAGAAATCACAGAGAACACTTACGAACCTGGCAGTATTAAAGGCAGCAAACTTCCTTAAACGGCACCGAGAAAACGGAGATAGTAGGAACTGCAGATGCTGGAGAATCCGAGACAACAAGGTGCAGGGCTGGATGAACACAGCAGGCCAAGCAGCATCAT